AACACAATAACCAAAAGAAAAATCAATCATAGAACTTGACTTAAGGTACTCAGCCAAAAGCATGGTAGCTTTGCTTATGGTGAAGTAGTCTAGACTCCAGAAGTATCTGTGGCAGATAGAGATGCTGTTTGGAGTCTGGGTGTTGTCTGACCCACAGACCCACAGAGCCATAAAGCTCAACATGCACAACAGCACTCCATCATTAAACGGAAGTGGTACATAAGAGATCAGGCTTGAGCAGGACCTGAAGGCACAAGTATGTCGCATGAGGAAGTGGCCCAAATGCCTATGGTCTCCACTGTAGTCACATTACCTTCCCTCTACCAGTCTGCACCTATAGCCCCACGGGAGATCCTTATGATCAGTTGACTAAGGATCAAACAGGCAGGTTTTAGCCATAAACATTCTCAAAAAATAATAAAGGAATTTTTTACTATTAAAAAAGTATTTTATAAACCTAATTCCTCAAAATTAATATATTAATCAATATTATATGCAGCATTTAAGGATAACAACTATGAATATATAACTATTTGCTGCTACTACTATTAAAATATGCCAGATAGATCCTAAGTACTTTATAAATATTAACTTGTTTGATTCCCATAACAGCCCGTATGTAAGTACTATTGATTTCGTCATTTAACAAATGGAGAAACTGAAATAGAAAAAGTTTAAATACTTAATCATGATTACAAAGCTAGTAGAGCACAGAGCTGTGATTAAAACCTAAAGTAGTCTGAGCAGTCTGACTCTAGAGTCTACCTTTTAGACAATTTTAAGAAAAAATTCTGCTTCTCTTTCTTAACTATTATTAATCACTTCTTCTATATTTTATTTCTTTACCCTTCATAATATTTCTTTCCTTAGCTTGGTGTTAGAACCCTGCTTAGATGACTCCAGAAGTTCTGAGGGGCAATTTAGAGAGAATGTGTAATAAACTAGTTAGAGCATCTGCCAGGAAACAGACAGCTTTGGCAGGATTTAGCTCTATACCACTCAGCAACTTTGTGACTATAGGCAAGTTACTTATTCCTCCAAAACCAAAAAACAAACTCACTGACATCGAGTCAGATCCGACTCATAGCAATCCCTCCTTGGGTTTCAGAGACAGTATCTCTACGGAAGTAGATCGCCCAATCTTTCTTCCAAGGAGTGGCTGGTGGGTTTGAACCGCCAGCCCTCTGGTTAGCAGTCAAGTGCCTTAGGCACTACACCACCAGCTGTTGTTGTTATGTGCTGTTGAGTCGGACCCGACTCATAGCGATCCCTCCTTGGATTTCTGAGGCAGTATCACTATGGAAATATATTGTCCAACCTTCCTTCTGAGAAGTAGCTGGTGGGTTTGAACCGCCAGCCTTCTGGTTAGCAGTCTAATGCCTTAGACGCTACGCTAACAGACACCACCAGAGCTCCTACTTACTCCTCAGACAGTTCTTTTTTCTTTATCAATTGTGATGTGGGTGAAAGTTTACAGAGCAAATTGGTTTTCCATTCAACAATCTATACATATTCTCTTTTGTGACATGTACTGCAATTCCCATAGTGTACAACATTCTTCCCACTTCCTCCCTGTGCCCACCCATTCTGTTTGGTCTTCCTTCCCTTCCCCTCCCACCTTCCTAGCTCTATCCCTGGGCAAATGCTGTTTTCTTGATCTCAAACATTTGATTATTCTAATGAGTGCATACTCTCCTGATATTACTGTTCACCTTATAGGCCTCTAAGATAGTTCTTTTATCTGCAAAATGGGAAGAACAATAGTACCTGTGTCACAGTAAGAATTCAACAGATTTGAACATCAGATATTTATTGAGCAATATTTGCCATGTGTTCTAGGCACCAGTGATACACATGAAAAAGATTCGATGTAGCATTCTAACAGAGCAGATAGATAATTAGCAAGTAAACAAATTATTTCAGATAATCGTTCAGGCTATGAAGAAAACAGGTCCCTAGGTAGTGCAAACAGTTCATGCCTGACTAATAACCTAAAGGTTCGCAGTTCAAACCCACCTACTAGCACCACAAAAAAAAAGGACTTGTAGTTTGCTTCCATAAAGATTACAACCAAGAAAATGCTAAAGAGCAGCTCTACTATGACATCTGGAGCTGCCATGGGCTGGAATTAAACTTGATAGCAATGAGCTTGGTTTTTTGTTTATGAAGAAAATAATGTACTATGAAAGAAAATAAGTAAGAAAATGCTGGCAAAGCTAAACATACGGCACATGTTATTACAATATGGACGATTCAACTAGACATCAGGTAAGGAAGAAGAGGAATCCCTGAGAGACAGCAAACAAATGAGGTGGGCACTATGACTGCCCCAGTTTATTGCCTCGAGTTTCCAGGCTATGGCATGGGGATGGTATCCAGATGACTTCCTGAGCTGAAGAGATACTGTGGAACATCCAGAGACCAAGGCGACTAGAGTTCACAGGAAAGAGTACCAGAGTACAGCAAATGAGGTCCAGAGATCTACAGAGATACCCCTTATGTATTCAGGAAAATACTGATCACAGCATATCCAAGACAGAAAAACTATCCAAGACAGGAAAAAGAACCCCTCTGTGGTAAACTGCTTGATGTGGCCCGTCTAGCTATTGTCTTCCATCTTGTGATGTATTGTAAATCCTATTATTCATGCCTGTTTAGGGTGGTGTGGTAGTTAAGGTCGGGTGTCACCTTGGCTGGGCAGCTGGTAGTAGTCATTCCCTACAATGACTGGCAATCTGCTATGGTGGGATTTGCCGTGAGCAACTGAGTAGCTGCTGATTGTTCAAGCCATCCACTTGGGTTATTTCTGCTGGCGCGGCACAGGTGGGCTGTATCTTGAGTCCTGCCTTGCTGAAGGGTATAACTCAAATCACCACCCTTAGCTTCCTTGAGGGTATACCTATCAATCTCCTGGCAAGGTTCGCCCTCCTCTTGCTCCGGTTCTGTTTTGGCTCATCTTCATTTCACCCCTGGATTTGGGACAGCAGCCATCATCTGAACTGATTGAGGTTTGTCAAATCCTGAAAAATGGAAAGATCCTCCAGACCTACTCACTGACCTGGGACTTGCCAGCCTGCCAGCCTTCACTACTACTATGTGAGATGATCCCTTGGGAGTCTGTGAGTTCTTTGAGGCATTACAGTGAAACACAGAACCCTAAGACAGGGGAGATTACTGAGAAGAAGAGGAGGAGTTAATGTCTGAAATGATGGAGTGGCATGGTAGTTTGGATATTTGGGACATCTTTAACCTCTGCCTCAAGGGGACCAGCCTTGTGCTGATCTTTCTAAGAGAAATTGTTGAAGCACCCTCAAAATGATTAGGCATTCACACAGGGCCTGGAACAGTGCCTGTTCTCACCAGCCATACTAGAAAACCACATAATTCATAAGAAATTAGGTAGAGGACTCAAAAAACCTTACCTCAATTGTAGTAGCCCAAAATTAAACCCTGCTCTGGTCCCTCTTAACGTATCTTAAAAGCAAGACTTTTTAAGGATCAAAGTGATTCCAAGTGACTGTATTGTGTCCCATAACAAAACTCAAGAGTATTTATGAAAATACAGTAATATCCAGCATCCAACAAGGTAAAATTTACAATATCCAGAATCCAATCAAAAATTACCAGGGATTATTTTATTTATCAGGAACCCTGGTGGTGCAATGGTTAAGCACTCAGCTGTTGAGTCAGTGGTTCGAACCACAGGCTACTCTGTGGGAGAAAAGACCTGGTGATCTGCTTCTGTAAAGATTTATAGCCTAGGAAACCCTGTGGGGCAATTCTACTCTGTCCTATAGGGTTACTGAGTGTCAGAATCAATATGACAGCACATACAACAGCATTCTATTTATATAGCATTCTGGAAATGTAAACTAATACATAGTAACTGAAAACGTATCTGCAATTGCCTGGAAGAGAAGAGGGGTAGGAAGCAGGAAGTCTATTGGTCTATCTTGCACTTAGAATGGATCCCTCCCAGGTATGATTTTGTATATCACGTACTAGTCATTTAGAAAATATTTGACTCAGTGAATTTTGCAAAGCTTACAAATGTTGACATAGTTCATTATACAACATGAAAACATTACATTCACCACTGATTTCACCACCAATCTCATCAGCAAACTACCAAGCTCCTAGTGACATATACAACTTTTCAAAATTCTGATTCTGAAAATATTTGAAAGCCTAAATTCTATCAGGTTCACTTTACCCATCTTCAAGAATTATCCCAGTTAGTCTGTCAATCATTCTTTCAAGAAAATTATTTTCTATAAAAAATTTTTTTCTATGAAAAAAAAAAAAAAGTGGCTCATTCAGCTCACAAACTATCTCACAAGTGCTTTTCCTTAAGACAACCATCCTGCTTCTGTATGCAAAATGTTTTGTATTTCTCATTTCTTCACACAGAATGTTAAATCTTAAGGGCTGAGATTCAATTGTTTCATTAAGAGCATTCTTAAGTCAAAGTGGTTTTTTTTTTTTTTTTGACTAAGCTAATAATGGTGAAGAAAATGACTGCAAACATAGGTTGGTGCCAATACATTGAGCTGAGCTAAGGTGCCAGTATGTATACCCATCAAGGCTTTTGCACCATCAGTGCAAAGGTCAAGATAGTAAAAAACACAAATACATCTTAATACTACTATGAAAATAGTGTTGACCTCACAGATCTCCTAAAAAGAGTCTCAAGAACCTCTAGAGCTTTCTGAACCATTCCAAGAGAACTGCTACCCTAAAGGGTACAGAAAGAACTTCAGGAGAGTGGAGTTTATAAACATTAGCATATAGAACAGGAAAAAAATTTCTAGTTCTCTTTCAAATCCAATTCTCATAATAAATGAGGAAACTAAGGCACAGAGAGGCTAGGGAATTTCACCATCTCACGTATCAGAAGCAGGGAATGTTCTTTGCATTATCCTTTTCTTTCTCTTTTTTTTGCAAAAATAGATTTAGCAAATTCAGCTTTCTTTAAGGTAAATAATAGCATAAATACATACAGTTTGCAGGGAAAAGGAGTTTATATTTCCTGATGGAGAGTTGAGTTTTATGGCCTTTCCTGAAGCAAGTTTTCCATCCAAATGGTGTATTTCTTTTTCAAAACAATGACGTTTTCTAATCTGTAAACACAGAAGCAAAATGAAGTTTAATATAAACTAAAAAATTCTGAGCTGGCTAATTGTTCTCAAAGGTCAAAATAGCTATATATGAATGTTTTCTTCATTGAAAAAAAAAAAGGTAACTATTTCTAACTGGCAATAATCAAATACATTTTTAAAAACTCAAATAGCACCTCATTTTAACACATAAATGAAATATAGAATACAGTAATACTTCTTAAATTGTAACCAAAATAGCTTTAATCAATGACATACCAAAATATTACAAAATGATCTTTTTATAAAGCAGTCCCACCACATAGGCACCAAGTATAGGATTATAGCGAAGTCCAACTATTTATCTAAGTTGAAAATATAAGTACAGTAAATCAAAAGCCGAAGGCTCATTCTACATTGAAAAGAACTCAAAATAAATTTTTAAAATATAAATAGGTATGACTTTCTGTAAGATAGGATAAATTACTTGATTACTATTATTACTATAAGGAGCTCCGGTGGCATAGTGAGTAACGCATTTACCTGCTGACAAGGAGGTCAGTGGTTCAAACCCACTGGCCATGGAAGGAAGATGAGATAATCCACTTCTGTAAAGATTCACAGCCTTGGAAATCCGATGGGGTCAATGAGTCAGAATTGACTTGATGGCAGTGGGTTTAATGTTCTTTTTTTTTCAGTTTTATTATTACTGTTGCTTACTAGACAGCTGGTATTTCAAATTGTCTTTTGCCTAAATTTATTTCATAACTTTAAGCTTTCTTTCCAAACTGTCTCTATGCTTTTGCTACTTGCCAAAAATCTGTTTACTTAAGTTACAAGAAAGAAAAAAAAGTATTTTGAGTGACAATGCCATCCCTACTAAAAAAGAAATGAGAGCCAACTCAAAGAATAAAAGTTTTATGTTGGGCCCTATCTCATAAGAAACAACTCTTTCTACGTATTTTTTGGGAAAAAAATCTCTATGGATTCACACTACATTTGGAATTGGCACTTTTTAAAAAATATCAGGTATCTCATTATCTGACATTTCAGATTTACAGTAATAGTAAAAAATTTACTATCCACCTATTTTGCAAATTAATAACATTATATCTGCCAGTAATAAACATCAAGGTCCTTGATAGGGTTCCTGACCAGGAGACCCCATGAGCACAGAGAGAGAAAGCTCACATTGCACAGTATTTTACCATCTGGGAGGCGACAGGGAGAGGGAACACCATCTTCCCAAGCCATTGGGGTACTGGGCAGAGCAGAGGGAGGCTAGAAGGGACCAACAGGGATAAAGCACCACCTGGTGGGTGCCAGGTGCTCAATGGGGCTGAGGCCAGGGCAGTGGCAGCCAGTATCCTAAAGGTGGACTGCCCTCTGGGCCAGGGAGGAAAGAGTACCCCGAGGTCTAGCCCCAGCTCCCAGCCCAAAGAAATGGCAGGGCCAAGATGGGCCATGGTCAGAAGAAGGCCTGAGATGGGACACTCAGGTGTGTAGGGCCCCCAGGACCTGTCAGCTGACCAGTACCTATGTAGCCCCTAATACTTTCTCGATGCCCCCCTCTTAAGTGGGCACAAGTGAAGGTGAGACAGCCTACGTGGGTGGGGTGGGGTCAGTGGATGAGTGGCCAGTGGCAGCTATAGTTTAAGATCAAGAGAAGAGTCCAGACCTGGCCATTGCATTGTCAATTTTCATGGGGATATAGGGCCAAGGAGAGATCGCTATGAGTCAGGTCTGACTCGACGGCACATAACAACACAGGGACAGAGGAGGGCAGGGCCATCTAGCAAGAGCTGGGGGATGCTGTAAGGGTTGTCAGGGGGTCTAGTGGGTAGCCTACACCCCCCATTGTGGTACCCAGGCCCTCCCACTCACAGACAGGGAGGTCCCTGCCCCCAAGAAAGCCACCAAGGGAGTTTTAGAGTCATTGAGGGGATGAGCCAGGGCCACCCATCCTGAAAATACAGTGAGAACAGAAAAGGGAGGGGACCTCAGAGAGGGCAGTATGGCACTTGGGCTACCTGGCTCTGGAAGACTGGCAGCCTTCCTCTGTGGGTGGCAATGAGGGCTTATTTCCTGAGGTGATATGGGGGAAGAGAATGTGATGATAGCAGGTGACTCAGCCACAGCCCAGCAGGACATTCACAGTATGGATAAGGGGATGAGGTGATGGGGTCATCCTCCATTTTCATATAGTGCTGATTTTCACATAACAATCTGATCTTTGGAACCTAACCATGTCGATAAGTGAAGAGTGGCTATACTTGATAATTCAGGTCTTCTAACAATTTTTGTAAAAATATACAAATTTATCACGTACTAATACAATGAATAAGAATAAACTTTGTCAACATACTAAAACTATCAATATCAAAAATATCACAACATGAATATTCATATCAAAGGTATTTTGGCCAACACAGAATGCCATTATAAAAAAAAAAAAAAACTCACTTCCGTTGAATCGTTTCCAACTTCATAGCAACCCCCGCCCCTTAGGTTTCCGAGGCAGTATCT